TGACAGACAGACAGACAGACAGACAGACAGATAGATAGATAGATAGATAGATAGATAGATAGATAGATAGATAGATAGATAGATAGATAAGAAACAATGTTCTAAGATAAATAATATACGCAGTTCGGCAGACAGATACATTACAATCATAAACAGATGTTTGTTTTTAGGATGATATGATAGACACCGCTGGCAGTGCTTTGATTTCATTACATGGCTTGTGAAAGTGTGTAACAGCTAAAAGAAACAGGTAGTAGTACACAGTGATTAAAGCATGAATCACGTTCGAATGGACTGCAATGTGTAGCAATCTAAAACAAGATCGCATAAAAAGGACAACAGCAGCAGAGTGCAACTGTATTGATATGAAAAAGCAGTCAAGCGTCGCATTTGTAAACATTGCAGTGTAACATCGACCTCTCTAATTGTAACCCGTTATTAAAAAACAACACGAAACGATGCAAAAGAGCTGAAAACGAAACAAAAAAGCAAAATAATGATATATGAAAGAATAACACAATCATAGGATCTGTTTCATTCGATGCGTCCTACCGCTTCTGTTTTCAATTAATTACTTTTATTATCATCTCCAGCAAAAGGCTTTTGGCTTTCTCCCTCGTTCGGCGTCGTAATTGCTTAACACACCCCCTTCCCCGCCCCCTCCCCGCCCCTCTCCACACCCCAGCACGCGTCCTCTTCCTTCCTGCATGTGCTTCCTCCCGTGAGTCGTTTTACGTGGTTTATGCTTGGGCTGGGCAATGAGTCGCTTCAGCAAACTCCAGATAAATTAATGTTAGGGCACCTCTTCGGCGGTTCAATGTGTTATGAACGGCTTCGGAAAATGGGTTAGAACTTCTTCGAGAAACGGATTAGAACCACTTCAGCTAACAGGTTAGGAAAGAGAGTTTAAGAGTCTGAATTCTGATAATGTTTCATTGAGAATGATCCGGTTATTCGGATAGGTTAACCGGATTTTGCCCGCCATTAGTTTATGCTAGGGTGTTCTTCCCTCTTGCCTCACTCATCCTGTGTTTTCATAGCCACGGATCTGGCGTTGTTAAAAGCCTTTTGTTGTTCACGTGTCTTGGGTCTGTCCTTCATTACGTTTTGAAATGTCTCCCCGCAGAGGATCCTCTTTTCTGTTGCTTCTTTCTTTCGTTCTTTTTTCTTTCTTTCATTCTTTCTTTCTTTCTTTCTTCCTTTCTTTCTTTCTATTCTCTTGCCCCCATCCCTGACCCACCCTATTTCTCTTCTACAAGCCCTCCCCCCCCCAACACGCACACACACATACTCACACACGCACACACACACATACACACACGCACAAATACATGCTCACACAAACACACACACACACACACATATACACACACATACCCACCTCCACCTAATCCAGCGTCACTCCCACCCCACCCCCTCCACCTCTTACAGCTTTTAGGGAAACAACAAGTTTATGTGTAAATTAATCATTTTCATGCATTTATTTCTTCTGGCAGGGTATTGTTCTGGGGGTGTTTTCTCTCCCCCCCCCACCTCTCTCTCTCTCTCTCTTTCTCTCTCTCACTCTCTCTCTCTCTCTCTCTCTCTCTCTCTCTCTCTCTGTATCTGTATCTCTCTCTATGTGTTAAAAACAGAAAAGAGGAGTAACATTACTTCATCTGTCTTTTTATTGCCGATGCTATTTATTATTACTGTTATCAGCAGTTAGCCTGCTATCAATAACAGTAGCACTGACAACAGCAACAAAAACAATAGGAACTACTGTAGATGCAGTGACATAATGAAAAATAAGCCATGGGAAACTTAAGCGTGTCAAAGATGTTGCACTTTAATATAACGTTATTAATGATACAGGAAGAACCAATTATACAGTAGAAAAATAGTGAGGAAGAGTGCAAATTGTGAACTCCGA